TAAAACTATTTGAACAGTTAAAAAGATTTTTCAACTGACTCCAAAAATAAATATAATTTTTATTTTAACTCTCATAAAAATAATTTTGGAGAGAAGATATTTTTGTCATCCTTACAAAAATTCCTAAGACTCAAATAAATAAAAAATCTTCGGAAATCTTCTACTCCTCCGAGTCCTCCGTTAGGCGCTTCGAACGCGTCTTGGACTCCAATAAAATCCTGTGCACCTTCTTGAATACTTCAAGGAATGGCACTTCAAGTCTTCATGTTTGTCGTTCTAGCACTTTGATCTTGACTTGAATAAATTGTGTTTGTCAATTATCAAAACCTGTGAGTCAACACTTAACAACACAGAAACGTTGAACTCATGCATTCCAACAATTTCCCCCTTTTTGATAATGACAAACACATGGAGGATATGCTACCAACAAATAACAAATTAAAGCATATACTCTTATACTCTTCCCCCTTTTGGCATTATCAAAAATAATGCAACAAAAGAACTCATGCATTCCGGGGAGAGAAAAAAAATTTCTAAGCAATTAAGAAAAATCACATTCCCCCTAAAATCATGCATTTCTAGGAAATAAAAAAACGTCCCCCTTAATGTATGCTATCTACCCCTTAAAAAATTAAAGCATACAAAAAGATTAACACATTTAGTAAAAAATTCCCATTTACTATATGAAAAATAACCTATGTATATTCCCCAAATAATAATTATCACAAATAAATCTCAAAGATAACATTTAATTTTAAAAAATAGTATTTACTCCCCTTTGATGCAATCTCTTTTGGCTAAGTGCTTGGAGCATCCACTACAAATTTGTAGTCTTCAAGCACGCCTTTCAAGTGCATCACGTGCCCGACCACCCATCTTGTTCTTCAAGAGCGATGAGGCAATCGTCTTTGGAAGGTTCATCATACTTCCACGAAAAATAAGCAAATTCATCTTGTTTGCTCATTTTCTTGAGCTTCGGGCACTCAAATTTTCGGTGGCCAAGCTTTCCGCACTTATGACACCTTGGGGTGTTTTTCTTTTTGCTCTTGTTTAGCTCATGTTTCAAAAACTCGTTAAAACATTCAACCAAAATATCACAAGAAGTGTTAGAATCATTATCACTATCACTATCCGAATCTGAATCATCAATTTCTACTTTTTGAGAAGAAGATGCTTTAAAAGCAATTCCCGTTCTCTTCTTAACATCAAGAGTATGAGAAAGATGATTTGTTTCGTAAGTGATAAGGTTACCTCGAAGACCGTCGTATGTGATGACGTTGTAATCTCGGCCTTCGTAAATGGAGTTTACCTTTGACTCCCATTCCTTTGTAAGACTTCGCAGGATTTTCCTCACTAACTCCTTGTCGGTGAGCGTCTTTCCAAGCATATCAAGGTCGTTGACGATGTTTGAAAATCTTCCAAACATGTCCTCCACAAGTTCGTTCTCTTTCATAGCAAATAACTCATATTCATGGGTTAGTAAATCAATTTTTGATTCACGAACTTGAGGCGTACCTTCGTATGTGATCATGAGCTTGTTCCACATTTGGTTGGCGGTTTGGCAACGAGATATCTTTTGATAATCGTTGGC